AATCTCTCCTTCTGATGACCTCTGCCTTTTCACCTCCAACTTGGACTTCAATCTGATGACTGTAGGGGTCTAGGCACAACCAATACTTAGACCTCTACAAGCCGAAACCAAAGCAGCTTGTCTCGCCATCATTTGCAAGTAAAATAAAAAACACACGAAATTTGGACATATCGAGGGAAACAGGTCGCCTACCGGAATTTTACCAAAGCTCTTGGCGATGTTCTCAGAGAACGTGGTTGGTTTTGTGGCCCCCATGAATTCAGAGAAGTGGCTCCGTAAAAAAAGATAGTGGGTGAAATAGAGAAAATAAATGACTGGAAAAATGTTTTTTTAAATTTGTTAAAAATGAGAAACTATTTTACAATGAAGACAGCTAAAGGACATACAGCTGAGGATTTATTTTAAAAATGGAGTTAACGGAAGGTTAGACAGGAACAGACGACTTTTGACTGCTTTTCTACCATGGCACATTGTCACAGATCGACGTTTCTGGCAAGGGACGGCCATTAGAGGCAGAGTAGGGATTAGATCGCATACATATATCACCAAAGGCTTTTTATGATATGGCAATACCTCGAACAAGCGTATTGTAGAAAACCACGTAGTATATTTTTACTGCGCTCATACAATAGAGTCGGCGAAGGTACACAGACTGCTAGGGTTGTAAGAGAGGATAAATTGAATGATACCTTGACGAGGACACGACAACAGAAATCATCTACAATACCTGCGTCCTTACACCAAATTCCAGATAAACTTGGCTTAGTGTTAGGACGGCACAGAACATGAGTCACCACGCTAGCCGTCCTCGGGCCAGGATGACAAGAAGAGAACGACACGCGATAGCCCCATCGCACAAAGGACCAAGTTACGTGCTACCTTCAAGTGCCGGCACCACATGAGGGCCCAAAGAGTTACACACACGCGAAATATCACCACCGGGTTAATTCATTTTGAGCTTACCAACATCACACGGCGGCTGCCTGGATAAGCGACTTGCGCAGAGACCAATAAGACGAGGCATTGGGAACAAAGACTGCTGGCACTTAAATATGGCGCTGCGAAAAGAAGGCACATTCTGCTGCCGAGACGAGATTCTGCTGTCGAAACGAGAGCTGTTGTCCGACACGAGAGAGCGCTGCCGAGACACATAAGACAAACTGCAGATGGGAAGACGTGCTGACGGACATTGGACAAGTTGAGACACATCCGCGGAGTTTGATGTTTAAGCAGAAACTGTTTCAGTGAACTGTTCTCTGCTACCTCGTCTGCCTTCTCTTCCTAACATACAACTGGAGGACATAACAGATGTCGACACAGGTCCTCACGCAAGGTTATAACAGGAATCCACGCTGGTACAGTAGCCTCCGAATTCCACAGAATTTAGGCATTTTTTCGGAATTTGCGTTCCATTCTCAGGCACCTTAGATCGCCGGATGCAGCATTACTTTCATGCTGGTTTTCACTTTTTTCCGCATGCTGGCCGAATTAACTGCAGGAAGAATTCCGTCGCTAGTAACGTCCCATGCAACCCGACAGAGTGCGTGACCGAACCAGCCAAAGATGGTACGTTTCCA